AAAAATAATATATATATATATATATATATATATATATATATATATATATATAAATATATACAATTACGTTTTTTTAATATCCGTTATATTTTCTTCGTGATTTCTATTTTTTTACAACAAATTGTATGATTATAATTTACTGCACTTTGTCACAATTTTGTCAAAAAAGTTTTATATTAAATTTTTATATTAAATTTATTTCAAAAATTAGTAATTTTAGCAATCACAAGTTTTGATATCACGGCAAACACGTATAATCAAATAATCTCGTTTTAGTCACATTTCTCATAGCATTGATGATAAATGACTTGATTTCACGCTTAGAAAATGGACAAAATAATGGATTTTACAAAGATATCAATATTAAAACTTTGTCATGCTATTTGGATTCTCCGTCATTTGTAAGAAACAAATTTGATTTACGATATCTCTTACTATAGATAATATCTTACATCATCATCTATCACAATCCAAGAATCTTTAGTGACGTTCTTTTATTAAAGTGACATATCAATATTTGATGTATCGTTGAATTTTCCCCGTTTTTTTTTACGAAACGCCTTTAACGTTTTGAAAATCAAAGAGCCGCGATGATGAGCTATGTGCCTACTCGAGGCACGCTTTAAAAGCTGACGTGTCAAACAGTTATTTGACTCTCCTGGCCAGCTTGATCAGCCCTCAAGCTACTCTCGATGACCTATTTTTGATATAAAGAGACTTTTGTTACACTTCTGACGTTTTGACCCGTCCTCGGACCGTCGTTAGCGAAAGAGTAACATACAATTTGATCAAAACAGCTTTTGTCTAGGGTGACAAATTGATATTACGTTTAAAAACTCGAAAATTCGAGAGGAAGAGTAGAAAAATTATATCTGAATTTTTTTTATAGCATTGAATAAAATTTAAAATTTAAAATTTAAAATTTAACTTCTTTGTTTAATATTCATTAGTATTATGCATGTAAGAGAAAATTCCTTAAAATATGAAATTGATAAAAAAATAAAAAATTGTAATATACATAAATTATTTGTTATTAAATAAATGTGCTTTGTGTCATCAGAGACCTGTGGACATTCGCGGAACACGATAATTATTGAAGATTTGCGAAGGAGAAACCTTGGCTGAAGACAAAAGGAAGAAAAGGCGAGATAGTCTGCGCGTTAAGGAAGATGTGAAGAGAAGAGATATTATTTGGCATTAAATATAATATCGGTACTCACGTCCGAGTCGGCTCCTTTGTCGGCACCCGGACACGTGAAGGTCACGTATTCGTGACATCGCTTGTGAACGACGAAACTACAGACTGAAACATAAGTGAAACGTGCCTAGTTTTCCTCCTCAAGGACACACCTTGGGCAAATAGCAAAGCCGATGAGATCGGTCTAACCCTCTTACCTTGGCACTGATATCCCTGTTTCCCGAAGCCCCTGCAACAACAAACGGGATAAACTTGTCAGCAGACACCTTGCGTTAAGGAAAGAATCAATCACGCGTCACGACAGACGTCGTGATATTGTTAGCAATTTATATTTGCGAATATTTATGAATTGAGCTAAAAATATCCAAAAATCTTGCGAGCATTTTTTTTGATGAATCGACGTGACACAAAGTAAAGCATATTGCGACGATACTTAAAAGTTACTTTAGAAGTAATATTATCAATTACCCTACGACAAGAGAGTCCATTAAACGATATTAATTAATTATACGTATAAAGTGTATAATAAATCAAAGTTAATTAAATATATTTATGAAGGCCTTTCAGATCTCTCCGTATTAATAAAAGAAGCGTGAGATATATATGTGTGTGTGCAAAATGGACATTACATTCAGGATTATGGGGCGAAATTTGGCACAGTGTAATTTTCGTTTTGCAAATTCTCGGTGGAACGGTAATTGCACGAGCGATTTATGTGCCGGGGAGGCGTTTTCGCGTGATTGTCGTCAGCTTTGCCAAAATAATTTCAACGTCACCCAAGTGCCTCGAAATTAAGCGCGGTTGCTAATACGTAATGCAATACCTATATCTCGCCCGCAATAATGAGATTATAAGTGGTAACACCACCAGTTGCAGATTATATTTGAATTCTGCGCTAAATTTCTAAAATGCCCACTTTTTAAAGATGCAACAGAGTTGTCTTGAATGTCATTTTAGAGACAGCAATGATAATGATTCGAATGCATTATTAACAACAAATAAAAAAAAACAGTTTAATTATTAATTATAATTTTATTCTAAAAATAATGAATTTTAGAAAGGAAAAAGTGGGAAAAGATTGACTTTGGCAGCATTAAAAAGCGAGATTTTACATTACATTTTCTGGAAAAAAGATATCTGTATTGACAATAAGTATAAAGAGAAAGAGATCGAGTTGTGTAATTAATATTTTATATTTTTCATTTCATTTCTTTCCAGTTTTATTTTTTTCTTTTTCGATCGAACTCTTTGATTATTTTAATACGTTAACCGACTCAGCTTTTGCGATATTAATAGTCACATCGCGCGATGGTGTAAGTAATCTCCATTTCTGTCGCTACCATCGGGCTCGTTAATTAGCGCAAGCATCCTTTCACGTAAATACGGTTATTAAGAGTTAAGCTCTTCTAAAATTTAATAGCGCACTCGCCGCGTCGAAGTGTCTGGAACGGACAATAAAACGGAGATAAGTGAAAAGCGGAAAGGTTCACGAGAGTTTACGAATGAGAGAATTCTCTTCGTCCTGTACGACGGATTCCCTAATCTACGCTGGTGCAGAAGGAAATCTCTATATATGACGACAGCCACCGATTAACTCCCATGGCGAAACTTCGGCGAAAGGATTCTCGAAATGGTGATTTTATCGTTTCAAAGACTCTCTCCTTTTCCACTCTCCCCCCTCTCTCTCTC